TCTTATCGCAGTTTTGTTAGGAATTTGATCTATCTTACTCACACTTGGCCGGATATTTCATATGTTGTACAGGTGGTTAGTCAGTTCATGGTTGCGCCCCGAACTACCCACATGGTGGTTGTGACCAGAATCTTGCGCTATCTTAGTGGTACGTCTGCTGTTGGTTTTTTCTTTCCCTCATCTGGGGATACTGTTATCGAGGCATATGCCGATGCCGATTATGCTGGTTGTTTGGACACTCGTTGCTCTACCTCTGGCTAGTGTGTCAAGATTGGCTCTTCTTTTGTATCTTGGTGTTGTAAGAAACAGGAGAGAGTTTCCAAGTATTCCATGGAGGCTTAGTATCATTTTATGTCTGAGGTCACCTCTGAGGTGCTCTAGCTTCAGCGCTTGGTTTCTAAGCTTGGTATGTCGTGTGTTGTTCCTTGCACTTGTATGCTGATAATATGAGTGTTATTCGTATTGCTATTAATCCTGTTCTGCATGATCACACAAAGCATATTGAGATTCAGGTACAGTGTACACTACATTCGTCAGCTGGTGTGTGAAGGATTGATCACGTTGTCGTATATTACTTATAAAGAACATACGACAAATTTGCTCACTAAGGCGGTTGCTTCTTCCTAGTACTAGTTTCTTGCATACAAATTGATGTATTGGTCAATTGTAATTTGGCCATTAATCCTAGTGTTAGTAGTATTGGTTAATCATATCATTTAATTAAAAAAACACACAAATCTACTATTCATACACAATTTATCCGCCTAGTGCGATTTCCATCCAAACAAACACCAAACATTTTTTTCCCAGCCTCTTATCGTACAAATTCCATTCACGGAAAAGGAAAATGGACGGTAATGGTGACACCCATGGGCCCCAAATTTAGATATAGAGGAGGTGACGCGTCCATCATCATCGACGCCAAAGCTTTCCTACTGAATGACTGCATTGTGCTGCGCTGGGTGGGATTCTGCTTGTTGCTCTAGGCCGACGTGGCAAAATTTTTAACTGTGACGATTGCCTTTTGTTGTTATCAATCACCAAAATGGAGGAAAATAAAAGAATTGACAACACAATCGGGAAAAAGGATATTGGTGTTGGTCATGGCCCACGTAACATCTAAGCGGCGGGCGCAAGAGGTTTCATTCGTGTTTTAGAAAGTTCCTAGTCATACGCAGCTCTTCTTCCATTGATCTTTGATCTCGACGACATACCTCCCCCACATCTCTTCCTCATTCCACTAAAAGTGCATCTTCTTGCCTTCTACCCGCCTATGAATGTACTTTTCTCCTTAGAACTCATTCCTTTTTTCTATAGATAATGTAAAATTAATTTTTTATTCTTTATCACCACATCATCCTCTAAATGGTCAATTATCAGTGTTGACACCTATATTGGATAAATTTAATGAAACTAGACAGCTAAAGACCGACAGCTAGACAAACTGTTAAGTAAATGACTAACGAGCAAGAAAATATTTTTTGAATCCGAGAGCTGATTAAAGTTAATAATTCAAGCGACTAAACATGTAATTTACTCTATAAGCTAAGAAGATAAAACTAACGAAAAAATCGTTGATTCAAAATGAGCTTGTAATTTTGTATCATTCATTATTACTGGAAAAATTTGTAAATATCTAGTCAAAATAATTCAATTTTCACCAATATCTCATAGTTATCTTACTTTGATAAATGATAACACATAGAATTCATATACTTAGATTTTACCCCATGAATTGGTATTATATATGCAAATTGAATCATAAAATTTCATGTGGAAAACATGAAGGTGAATTTCATGAGTAAATTGGACTTCACAATTTACATATGGGCTAGCTATGTTGATAACATCAAATTCGTATGATTCTTAAACTTCATATGAAACTATCAACTTATACATTATTATTGGGTTAAGGCACATATGTAGCATATATTATGTTCCTTGGCCATATTGAATGCGTGAAGAATCATTCTTAAGTATTACCAAAATTAAAAAAACGCTAGGCAAACCCAAAACCTAACTTACATCCCTACTAGGAAGGAAGTTGAATAGGGCAAAGGTGAAACTGAAGCAGATCCAATCCTCCGGCGGCTCTTCGACTTCCTGGCAGCGGAGTGCGAATACCTCTCCAAGGACGCGGCGGAGAAGGAGATCGCGGCCGCGGCGAAGGCTGCCAAGGAGAAGCGAAGAAGGAAAGAGGAGGCGGCGGCGGAAAGAGAGAAGGCCGACGCTGGTAAGGCTTCCGAGAGCAACAAGAGACTGAAGGAGGAAGTGAAGGACGAGAAGAAGAAGGACGAGAAGAAGGAAGAGAATGGCGTCAGAGTCCCCCCAATTTGATCGCCGAAACCTCGGTACCAAAAATGCTACGGATGAGAGCAGGGGAGGATCTCGTGGGTCTGGGTTTGCTCTAGGAGAGGAGAGAGCACAAGGAAAGCATCGGAGAGAGCAGGGGACGATTCATCTTCTCTTTGCTCGCTTTGCCTTTGCTAGTCCTGCAAGCGGCGATGGTGGATTCGTGAACTGGAGCTTTTGGGGGTTTGGATCTGGCGCCGAGTAGAAAGGTAGGATCTTCCTACCAGATCCGCTCGCGGATTCCATGGAGGTGCTCTTCTCCGACGAGACATACGATTTCACGAGCGCAGTTGGAGAAGAGGGGTAGTGGTGGTGGTGGCGGACTTTGTTTACCCGGCAGTTCCTTTTTCCTTCCCCTTCTTGCTCGGGGTAGCCTGCCAGCAATCAGAAGTTTGCTTCCGAGCGCACGAAGTTTGCTTCCGCCGATGTGAATCCCGACGGCCGGCAGTTACACTTTAAGGGGCTTCAGTTTTGGGGATTGACGGTTACAATTTCAGAGCAACGGTTCCATCTGCGATCCGTATCAGATACGCCTGTTCTTTCTCTTTCCTCCCTAATTTTAATATTTATTTATTTCCAGAAATTTAATTCTAAAATCTTTTAGTTTTATTTTCCGTATCTGCTCATATTTATAATCTCTTCACTAACTTTACTGTAAAAAAAAAAAGTAAAAAAAACATTTTATTTTTGACCTTGTCAGCTTTTGATTCGGAGTATCCGACCAAGCCTCCATGGCTTGTTTAAGTTCATTCGATGGAGCTTAGTTGTCCTCCTGTATGGGCGCTTGTGTGTTTGTTTGTTTTTGCAGGGGCACGTAGTTTTCCCTTGATCATTCAAGCATCCATCAATTATGATTCAATCTCGTGATGTGGCGCATGCGACAGGTGGAGCGATCTTGGAAGAGATTTGTTTGTCGTCTGAGTCTTTTAATTTCTTTATTTGTACTTTTACACTGAGGTTGTACAACAGGGCTGCCCACTTAGTGGCTTCTAATGCCCTTTCATCGACAGCTCGATATTGTGTCGACTGTCGCGTCTGGTTTTCTAGCGTCCTGTAATATCTATTTCATTCCCGATCTATGGAAAAAAAAAAAACGCTAGACATAAAGTGAGTGTTGGTAATATCTAGTGTGCTTAGTAAAAATAACAGTTCGTATTTAAAGATGAACGAAATATCAATTTACAACACTTCAACACTTTAGTTAAATGATTAATAACATAAGTAGTATTTATTATGTTCGTTGGTCATATTAAATTACATTTGAATCAATACAATTAAAATGTAATTTATGATTTTTTTCTAATTTATTAACAACTTAAAAAACCATAAATACAAGAATTATTAATGTTCAATAATTAATGTGCTCAATTGCAGATGAAAGAAAAAGAATAAAAAATTAACAATCTTGCTAAATAAGAAAAAACTCCACATCCTTGCAATTGTCAAAAAGTGATGCCTACTTGGAGCATCCATATTGGTATTGCATTTATAATTAAGATGACATGACATGAATGTTTGCAATGGCAAAACCAATAGCGTTGGTGTGACCACCAATTTGCATATTTGCAACCTTAGAACATCTACATCAATGCAATTGTAAAACCAATTGCATTTATGCTTTTTAATGTCATCTTAGTTCTTTTACAATCCAACTCACATTACTATCATTTATATACATCAATAAAATTAACTTACAATTGCATTTGTAGGCACAGTTTATTTTTTAATAAAATAAAGATTTATATATTTATTATTTTATCCATACATAGAATAAAGAAATTCATAAATGCCTACGTGGAATTGCAAATGAAGTTGCAAGAAATGGTAGGTTTCAATTCATTATTGCAATTGAGACTTCCATCAATGCAATTAAAATGCAATAATTACATTTTCATTGCCATGTCACTTTGCAATTGAATATGATACCTTGATGTGGATGCTCTTACAACAAGTGCAATTGCATATGCAAGTAAACAATGCTTAAAATGATGACTTCTTATTTTATTTAATATCATTTTCTTCTCTTTTTACTTTATTATCTATAATTTAAACATAATATTTTTTGCAGATTAACATAATATTTAATTAGATATGTAATTGCAAGTTTACATATGTAATTGTAAGTGAATTGTATTGATGTAGGTGCAATGCCATTCATATGAATTGAATTGCAAAAATATTGAGGTGGAAAAAAAATTCATCGTGCATGCTCTTAGAATTCCACTAGATCGAGCAATTTGTAGAAAGCAAAGGGGTTGGAGGTGTCTTGTATTTCAACCATGGTCCATGAAACCGTACCGGGAAAGTCAGCGGTAGGATATTTTATGGTAAAACCGTGGTTTAACCGTAGTTCAACCGTTATACCGGTAAATACCGCCTATCGGGTTAGCCTCCAATACTGATATTTCGTGGTTTAACCGCCGGTACGGTACGATTTCATGGACATTGATTTCAACTCGGTTCCATTCAGACCCAAACCATCCCCGCCACTAGTATAAGTTCGACCGAGAGTTCTTTGTGCCTAAGGTACAAACATACAAGGCCCGTTTCGGCCCATCTTTACAAGCGGCCCAATAACAAATGTGTTTCAGGGCTTGTTGTATCATACCACTATATATATTCTCCTCCCAAACCCTAGTTTCATTTTCGTTCGCCAGTAGGTCTTTCACCCGCCAGCAAAACCAGAAGAGGCGCTTCTGATCCCACCGGCGGCGGCAGCAATGGTTCGCCCTTCGCAACTTTTGCCGCTGTTTCAACTCTTCTCCTGGGTTTCGGAAGTAACGACTGTTTTCCATTTTTCATTTTCAATAGGGGATAGATTTGAAGGCTGGAGGTAAGAGCAAGAAAACCAAGCGTACGGCTCCCAAATCAAATGATATATACCTCAAGCTTCTCGTCAAGGTACTAGAAACTCTGATTCGATAAGTTCTTTTAGCTAGTTTAATCTGTTTTTAACTGGATGAGATTTGGCTGAGAGTGAATTGGCTTTTGCGTGAATATCATCAGCTTTACCGGTTTCTGGTAAGGAGGACCGGGAGCAGCTTCAATGCCGTTGTGTTGAAGAGGCTGTTCATGAGCAAGATCAACAAACCTCCACTTTCCCTCTCCAGGCTCATTCGATTCATGAAGGGCAAGGTTGGGCTTTTGAACACTTCGACAAGATGTTAATTTGAAATTTTCTTTTGGTTGCTATAGGTATGAGATTTTGATGGGTATTGTTTGTTTGTTCTTGGATTTGTTTAGGAGGACAAGATTGCAGTGGTTGTGGGAGCAATAACAGATGACATTAGGGTTTATGATGTTCCTGCCCTTAAGGTTACTGCTCTGAGGTTTACCGAGACTGCTAGAGCCAGAATCGAGAAGGCTGGTGGTGAATGCTTGACATTTGATCAGCTTGCCTTGAGAGCTCCTCTTGGCCAGAACACGGTATGATTCTTCGTTTTTATTTTGATCCATGGTTTGATTAGCACTTCTCTTCAAATGCGTTGATATGAGCTTGTTGCATTGAATGACTGGTTAGCTAGGGATCTGGGTCTTATTGGTAGATACTTTTAGCTTTGTGTCTAGGAAATTAGGGTAAGATGGGGGCTATTGATGGAACTGTGATGTGTCTTACAGATCTGTAATGATTTGCGTTGATGATCGCAACTCTTTATGAACATCTAAGGGACCGAGTTCTCAATAGTAATCCCATCTATGAACATCTAAGCGAGCTTGTTTCAGTGATATGCTGTGGATGGACACACTAACTGGGCTTTTGGTTGAGCGATTGCACTCTTGTGTCAAGTTCTTGATTAGGATTGTATTGGTTTTTGCAGGTTCTTCTGAGAGGTCCTAAGAATGCTCGTGAGGCAGTGAAGCACTTTGGCCCAGCTCCTGGTGTGCCACACAGCCACTCTAAGCCCTATGTCAGATCGAAGGGAAGGAAGTTTGAGAAAGCTAGGGGCAGGAGGAACAGCAGAGGATTTAGAGTTTAAGTTGTTGGTTTTCATAGTTGTTTATGTACCAGAGGCTGTTTGTGTTACTTCTCTCCTACATTTGCAATTCCCAAATTTTTTGCTAGAACCATAGTCCATCTATCAACCTAGTTTCGTTTTGTGTCTATTATCGTTTGAATGCTTTGGGGTTATCCATAATATGCATCTGTCTCCACTGATTACTCTAAATCGTGGCTGTTAAGTTCTCATTCTAGCTTTATTGATCAGTAAAGTAATGCTAGTCTCGTCTTCCCAAGGGCAAAATTTCACGTTCTAGTTATTGCAGCAACACATTGGTACATTGTGTTGAATTACGGCTAGTTTATCTAATTTGATCTCAATCGTAGGGTATTATGATCAACATGCAGATGAAGCTGGTGATGCCACAGATCTAACCTAATAGAACAAATTATTGTTTTGTTTCGTCTTGTATTGTCCTGTGTAATCTTTTCAAGCACATGATAAAAATGAAGCATCTTCTCTAAACCACGAAAGTCAACAATCGATCCTGTTGCATTCATGACAACAGAGACGGGAAAACTCTTACAGAAATCCATACTCAAACTAAGATGATGACAAAGGCATATTCATCTGGAATCTTTTAAGTGGAAAGCAACTCAATGAAGCTACAAGCACTAAGCAAAAGGACTAGTAGAACTTTCTGATGAACTTGTGGATATGAACATCGATCTCCCCTGCCCTTTCCTGGTTGAGAAAGTGACCAACTCCTTCCACCACAACGATCTCCTCCAACAATGGCACATTCTTCTTGAAACCACCACCATGCACGTACTCCTTCACCCGCGGTGTGGTGTACCACATGTCATCGTCTCCCACCTCATACTTGACCGGCACCATCATCGGTGCGTCAGTCCATGGCTCTGTAAGCTCCCAGTTCCTACAAAAAGAGACCGATCGGTCCATACGGATTAATATAGTACTTAAATGGGTGTGTAAAAGTGCAAACCAAGGTTGTTAACCTGCGAGTCGACTCAGATTGACCCCAACCCAGTGAGGAAAACAGGAATCACACACCCGCGGGTCGACCCACAACAAGTTTCATGAACTGAAGGTCTCACAATTTCGTTTTTCTCTTTGGTTTTCGAATTGCGCATTTTTTCGGTTTTCCGCTTTGCCTTACCCTATCTTTGGAATTCTAAGTTGAATATTTGAACATTGAGTTTGTTTAAAATTTCTTTGATTCAAATATGAATTGTTATTCGGGTGTAATTTTATATCTTATTAGTTATTACCCATGTATTATAGGAGATTTGATATAATTAATAAATGTATGAACAATATAACAACTTTTTCATAAATTTGGACTAAACCAATTGGATTATTAAACCTCAACTCCCTTGCTCGACTAGACGAACGGCTAGACTGGTTTGACAACCTTGTTTTATCTGTTGTTTTTCTTTTATAGATTGCATAACCAACTCCATGCAAGGCAAAAAGAGAGGTCAAACTTACAAATCTATGGCTCTGTAGTAGTTGAGCCCTCCGGTGAAGCCAGTCTCATTGAACTTGTTGACAATGTAGTTGAATACATCTTCCTTAAGCCAAGAGGGCAAAGGCCCTGGATTTTTAGGGCAGATCCCAAATGGATTCGCTTTAGCTAGGCATGGAGGACTTGGTTTCCTATCACTTAGGATCTTCTTCAGCACTTCAGCTGTCCCAGCTTTTGATATCTAAGCTTCAATAACTCGTGCTTCCTGCCCATTTGCACAAAAACAAAAATGAAATTTGGATTCAAGATTGATAATCCCTCAATTTTGAGTGATTGTGGTGGGGCCTCTAAAAAGTTAATGCATGTATTTTAGTTCAATATAAGTTGAAAAAACTACTTAATCTCATAAATACATGAATTGACACAATGCACCATTTGAAATCACAACTTCCAAACAACTTCATGTAAGTTTCACTAACAAGATCGACAAAGAAAGAACAAAGAAGAGAGAAGCAGGAAACCCACACTAAGAACATTCCAAAGAACCTGAAATCTGCACATATAGTAGTCCTCTTCAACACAAGCCGCATCCCCTCAACAGGCTTCATCTTGGGATTCCTAGGCCTGAAAGGAACACTCAAGCAAGCAAATGCCCTGATCTCAGGGCCGCAAGGTGTCAAGGTCAGCCACGACCACGATGTGGTGGCCCGTGTAGGCCTGGCTCGAGTCGGGCGAGTCGGGTCCCCGTAGCCCCTGAGGTCAGGGGCCACGGCATGGAAGCCGAGGGAGCCGACGCAGAGGATTTGGTGGCGCCATGTGAACCACAGCTCGGGGAATCCGTGGAGGAACATGATTACTGGATTGCCTTGGCCTTGACCCTTTTCAGCTATGTGCATGTTGACGCCATTGTCGGGGAGAGTTCTGTGGGTTATCTCTTCCATTTGTGTTGGGCGTTTGGAGGGATAATGTTGGGTTTTGCAGAGGAAGCTGGGACCTAAGAGGAGTAATATATCAAGTTGGGCGCATAAACATTAACCAATACAACAATACTGTAGAATCATTTATTAACGAATTGATCACTGCATTATGGGCTTTTAACAAATTTGTCACTAAAATTTAAAATAATTTATAAAACTGTCACTATTATTCATCGTAAGAACTTGTCCGCCAAAATGTTGTATCATAAAGAAACAAGTTCGATACAACTTCTGATAGCTATCAAATCAAGAAAGGAGAGAATTAGAATGATTTCGTCGATAATGTATATATAAACCACGTCAAATAATGAGTAGATTATCATTCATGTCAACTGAGTTTAAGGTTTATATCCAATTGTGTTATCAATTACGTTCAGTTGATACATCAATATGGACATAGAAAAATTTAGAGGAAATGTGCGGGCGTGATTATTGTATTAGTTATTTGAAATTTCAGTGACTAGTATGTTGATAAAGAAAGTTTGGTGACCAATTCGTCATACTGCCCCAAACTTAAGTGACCATTTAAGTAGTGTGAATTTAAACTAAGGGTGGCGTGCTGTTGAGTGTGTCTTTCTCTTCCCTCGGAGGCTTTTACTAGCAAGGGGCAATTGCAGGATTAGGCTTGTCAATTGGACCTGAATTCCGGGTGCCCGACCAAACCCGACCCGTTTTGTGGCGGTTAAAATCCGATCAATCGGATAATTGAGGGATTGCGGGAATCTGTTACCCGCTACAGCCGGTTGTCGGGCGGTGGTGGGTTTCTGACTATCCGCCATGAGAGAACCCAAAACACGCTTCCCCTCGAATCATCCACCCCACCCCAGTCCCCATCTCATTTCTCGAAAAAAACTCATCCCCTTACATACACTAGTGTCGCTCTAAAAAATCGAATCCCCAACCCTAACCCTTCTTTTTCTCCTCAAATCTCGAAATATGCTCTTCGATTGTAGAGAAAACGACAGAAAATCACTACATTCATTGTTCTTAAGATCAGATATCCAATCAATCAGTTGAAACCCTTCGATTTTTCCGGATCGAGCCATTCCCGATGGCGATTACAGTGCCATTTTCCCTCTATCGACCATCTTCTTTTTCCCCTTGATGCATGCGCCTATAAATACCTTAATTGAGTTTTTTCATGCAGATTCTCAAAAGGCAGACCATTCCAGAAAGAAGTAGTAAGCTAGCAGATGCCTGCAATTGCCATTTCCAGTCGCTGGCTCACTGCAACTGCAAGGAGCACGAACCATAAGTGTTCTTCTTAGCCTTTCGTCTGGGATTTGCAAGATTTTGTTCAACAACTTGTCTCTTGTCTAATACCTCGGGACTTTCTTTGTTGATGTTAGGGTTGCTGGTTGCGGGGTTGTCATTGATCAGTAACGAAGCTTAGGAATGTATACTACTCGATTCTCCTAGTTCTTTCAGGTTTCAAGGAATTTAGCAGCGACTGATTGGTTTCATTGGTTTGTTTTCTCGGGTGATTGCAGGTAATTAATGGAAGGAGTTGAATTATCTACCACCCCCAACTCTCAATCCCCACTCCCACCCCCAATCCTTAGCCCCTGCCTGAACCACAGCAGCATCAACCAGTGATTGCTGTTGATGCACCAATAGCTGTGAATGGCAATACTGATACTTGTGCTGGTGGTGGTGAGTCACAGCCCTCTCCCTTGCCTTTTTGGGGCCAAACGTCCACTGAAAAGTGATGTTTGGCCTCACTTTACAAGGTTTGTGGATAAAGATGGTGTAATGAAAGCACGATGCAAGTACTGTCGAAAGGTTCTTGGAGGTGACACCAGCAATGGTACCTCTCATTTGAGGAACCATAAAAAGGTGTGTGTTCAAAAACAAATTTACGATGGTAATCAGAAAAATATTGCCACTAATTTCCTCCCTAATGGTGTTCATGGAAAGAAAGAACTGTGTACTGGTCAGTTCAATGCAGAGGTTTCAAGGAAGGAACTTGCCACTATGGTTTTGATGCACGAGTATCCACTTGGTATGGTGGATCACTTGTATTTCAAATTTTTTTTTGCAATTCTTTGAAGCCCTTGTTCAAAGTTCATTGTAGAAACACTTGCAAGAGTGATATTCTTGCCATGTACGCGATTGAGAAGAAAAAAGATGCAAAAAATGATTGATGGTAACAAATGTAGAATTGCTGTCACAACTGACATGTGGACAACAAGTAATCAGAAGAGGGCTTACATGGATGTACCCTCTCATTATGTTGACAACAATTGGAACCTTAGGAGCCACTTGCTAAGGTAAATTGCTTATTTAATTTTGTTCTTTCTTTGATGTTTATTTGTTTAACACTTAACAGAAAATGACTTCGAGCTTCATTTGATGTTTGTGTGAGTGTATGACAGGTTTCTTTATGTTCCTGATAGCATCATTTGAGAAATTGCCCAAAAAATGTGGACCAAGTTTAGCAAATACTGGACTGATATCCATGTATTGCTCACTGTCGATGTTGTTCTTGATCCTGAATACAAACTTGAGCTGATTCAATACTATTATGATAAGAGCAATGGCTCTGATCCTACTCTTGATCCTGTGACTGTTAAGGCCACTGTCTATGATGTTGTCCTTGAGTATCACTTGAAACAAAAGGGCAGAGATGACCATTATGCCTCCTCTGGTTATGTTAATGGTGTTAAGGCCAATTCAGGTGACCATGACTTCGAGCTTTATTTAAGCCGAAGGAAAAGGTCCAAAGCAGTTTCACTATGCTCTGAATTGGATCATTATCTCTGTGAGGATGTTAGTCCTCAAAGTTCAAATGTTGGGGTTTTGGATTGGTGGAGGGTGAATGCTGGAAAATACCAACTTTTGCAAGAGGTAGCAAGAGATTTGCTTGCTATACCAGTGACCTCTGTGGCCTCTAAGTCAGCCTTCAGCTCTGGTGGTAGGCTGCTCGATCCTCACAGTAGGCTTCACTTTGAAACTGTTGAGGCACTCATGTGCACCCGTAGCTGGATTCAGAGTGACATTTGCAAAGGTAAGAGCTCCTATTTTTGTTAATTCTCGCTTTGTTTGAATTTCAAATATTGGAAAGTTTTGTTTAGGGGTGACAAACGGTAAGTCGGTAAACGGTTTATCGTTTTACCGAACCGGTAATCGACGGTAAACGGTAATCCATTTACCGGCGGTATCGGTAGCTGATGGTCAAATGGGGAAGCTCGGTTTACTGGCCCCAGTATCGGTAAATACCGACGGTAATTAGGTAATACAGATACCGGACCAGTTAAGGCATTAACTAATAACATATACTTCATTATTCACAAATATTACATGCATGAATGAAAGTAAGTAAGTATAGGCCTCAAAAATATTATAAATACGAGTTAATAATAATTTATTAATTAAAAAAATGAAGAAAACACTTATAAAAATCAAAATATTAAAACATCTCTCCATTGCCCATAAATTCGCTTCGGTAATTTTCCGGTAAACCGAACCGAAAAACCGTCCGCAACTACTCTTTACGGTAAGTCGGTAAAATCGGTTTGTAACCATTTACCCACACTCGGTATACCGAAAACTGGTAAAGTCGGTAACCGGTAAACCGGTTACCGACCGAATACCATCCCTAGTTTTGTTAACTATACTTTGCTTGAATATGCAAATGCTGCAAAGGCTGAGATTCAAGGTTTGGAGACTTGCTTCTCTGCGATGACAATTGAAAATCCAAGTTGTGAAGAGTTTAAGAAAGAAGGTACTTGTGCTCTGTTTTATTATTATGAACAATTATCTTCAGTTAGTAGTTAACAAGTACCTTAAATTGCCACAGATCTTCAAGGTAGCCAGAGTCGTACACTCTTGGACATTGAAGATTGAAGTGTGCTGCTGGTGATTGTTGTGCTGGGCTGTTGGCTTAATGTTGCTGACTGATTTTGTTGATGATGGTGCTGCTCGATAAGACTGAAGGGTGAAGAGAACTACTGCTGCTCTTTTTTGTTGTTTGGTTCAATTTGGAACTTGTTTTGTTTCGTTTGGTTTATGGCTATATGACTTTATGGATGTTGGAATCCAATTTCGAACATGTTTTCTTTTGTTTGGATGATGAATTAGTGATGTCTGGTTGCTGGATTTTGCAAGTTGGTGGATTTCATATGCAATTTATGCATTTTTCAGTTTCAATTTGACTGTAGTGTCTTTGATTTTTTGTTGGATTCAGCTGTTTTGGTTTGTGTCGGGTAAACCCGCTATAACGGGTTCTAACCTGTTACCCGTTGGTTTCGGGGTTGGGCCTAACAGAAAGCCCGATAGTGCTAACGGGGCGGATTCGGGGAAAACCCGTTACTCTTTCGGGCGGGTGACGGATAGGCCTTCCCCGACCCCGATCCACCCCGTTGCCAAGCCTATGCAAGATTGACATTTAATGATTTTTTTATAAAGATGATATAAGGTTCATTTTTGTTATTAAGGTGCCATTTAAAAAATTCGAATGTGAAAGCCCTAGTTCGTAAATGTTTTTTGTGCTCATATGTAGTATAAATGCTCAGTAGACCACATGTTGGAAGGACAAATAATTTTAACACTCTTTGACTCGTTTTGTCCCTTTAAGATTTTATGGTTTGGTGATGGAAATTAACATAAGAGTTGTGGTGGGCTAAGAGAAATTTAGTTTTCAACAGTATCAAATATTGTTGTACTAAGTCACATGCTCTTCACGAGGAATGGTTAAGTTGAGAGATGGTAGCATGGGTGAGGTCAAGTTGATACATTTGTATATAGACATACAAGGAAAATGACGAGAAACAGATCAGATGCTATAAAATATGGTATGACTAACGAATTCGAGTTATATACAATACATGTAGTTCAGGTTGTAAGGGATAAAAATGTAAGAAATTCTATTCAAATAATTTGACTTATTGAGAATAAGTAGTTTGTTGGTAAATACAGGTTAGTTGTAGCAAGGTTATACACCAAGAGAGAAAAATAAGCTAAGTACAGGTTCTCACCAAAGGGAAAATAGACGATTTCACATGGAGCATGAGTAGGGTTGTTTTCCTTGTTGAAGTGAGGACGCCATGCTGATTTCTTCTGAATGCATATCGATATCCCATTAGCTTTTGTTGCACATCACATGAAATATGTTCGAAGTGTTGAGGAGATGGAGGGGAAAAAAAAAAAACATAACACTCGTCAAAAGTTTGTCTAATTCCCATCCTAGGAAGTCATGTATTATTTCTTTATATTTGATCGATTTTTCATTAATCACATTGGTCGATTTTGATCATTGGATGGGA